CGACGTCCGCGCGACCGCGACGCAACGCCAGCGCAGCATATACCCAGCGTTCGGCACTATACAGCAGTCGCTCAGTGCCGGCGTTGCGTACACAAATTAGTTAGGGATACTACGTTGCAACGCCGTCGCGCGGACGTCGTGTCGACGCTGTGTTTGCGTTGGCAAGACGCTGACACTCGAAACACGCTAATGTGGGGGTCTAAGTGTCACAAGCTGCATTTATCAATATCATTGAGTGTTTCAGTCACAGACATATATCCAAATAGACGCCGCAAGTATACCTACTTCGCGTGCCCAATGTAAGCTGTAAACGCTTAGTTGCCGCTGCCACGCTTCAGAACGCACGCGGCCGTAATCGTAACTAAACATCAATCAAAAACGCGAAAAATGCCTAATTGTGCCATCAGAAACTGCAAAAAGCCACAGCCGGGAGAAGATAAATAAACAGGGACCTTTCCTTCCACACTTATGTAATTTTGTAGTCAGAATATGCATAATCTATTTTAACATAAATTCTTTTCATTTTGAATGAATTTCGAGAAAACAAATATGCAAACGAGTGTATGCGCGTGATTCGTAATACATTGCGGCTTTTAGTGCTCCCGCCTACTGGGTCACTAGTCGCGGCCCCTAAACGCCACTACTAAACGCGATCACTAGTGGCTGAGTCAAGCCACTAGAAGCGGCACCAATCACAACCACTAGTGGCTGGATGCCGCCACCGGTCGCACCTACTAGTGGTTAGAAATCGTTCATTTTGCCGAATTCTTCATTGGTGTAGCGTTAGACTTGAAAATAGCACATACGAATATCATTTTATTTTTAACTTTAGATTTAGTTTGATTGACAGGTCACGACTGAGACTTTATATATTTTTTTAAATAGTACGGATCATAAAGACGCTACAAGTCGCTAAATATTTTATTTCTAGCTAAAACCAAATTTTTGCCCAGTAAACCTTCATAAAATTCCCTAGGTCTAGAGACTACTAAGTTTAAACGGCACCAAAGGCGGGCGGGGAGAAGCCGGCGACTGTGGTCGAGTGTGCGCGTGAGGCGAACGACGCAAGTAGCAAGCGCGGGCCACACCCGCAGCTTGTAGCTCGGACGCGGTCACTCGAACGCTCAGTTTGCGCCGATTATATTAAAAATAAATATAAAAAATGTTGTGAAGGATTTTTGATGCAGGAATGTGAAGGATTTTTCCCATCACTAAATAGAGCTTGTGACGTCATAGGAAGTACTAAAAATGTGGCATGCTTGATTTTCATACAGAACACGGTACTTGCGGTGTCTATTTAGATATATGTCTGTGGTTTAAGTTGACGGTACTAGTTGTCCTTAGCTTTAATTTATTCAACATTATTATTTCATATGATGTGTTGTGTACAAAATATGTTATGAAAATGTTATTTAAAAAAAAATCATGCATTTACTATGGTACTCACGAAACATGCAAATATATCATCAATTAACAATACAACATCGAATACAGCATGAAGAACGCTGCAATAGTATTTGAATAACAGAAAACAAAACAAAGGGTGCATGCAAAGCCGTGACATGCAAAGAAATTGTACTGTATTTGGGCGAATACCGTAGCGCGGGTGCATGTTTGGACGAGTATGTGGCAGCTGCGCGTGGACACCCCCTGCTCCCGGTGGCCCGTGATGCCCGTGATGCGGTCCGTGCAGCGCGTGTGATCCGTGCGGCCCGTGTGGCCCGTGTGGCCCATGTGGCCCATGTGGCCCATGTGACACGTGCAGCTGGTGCGCGTGTGCCGGCGGCACGGTTACAGTGATGTTGTCATCCGCAGAACCATCTGACTCGTCCCCGCGCCCGCCTATACCTCCCGTATCTATCACAAGTTTTTCCGTATAATGACAGGAAAACTCTAATATACTAATTTAAGTATTTTTCTTGATTTTTCCTAATCATTCTATTTTCAAATAGTCTTTATACAAATATGTTACGACTGAATCGACATGCACCGAAAGCCCGTTGACCGAGTAGTATGCGTATGAGAGAACAGTTTGTTAGTGACAACAACTTAACGACACATCAACTAAACATACAACTTTTCTGACCTGGAGGTTGACCTGGACCATTCGGAGGCTGCACTAGCTGCCCTTCTGCAATAAAAATTCTAGGTAATTATGTCACATAACAGACGGTCTCACAGGATTACTGAAGCTCATTTGACTAAAATAAAAGACATACCCATGCCAGGAGGACGTGCTTGCATCGGCGCCGCTGATGGCCTATGTGGCGTGCGACGGCTGTAACCGGTTTGATTTCGGAAGGCGGACACAGAATTCCTCAGAAACCTTTAAATAACAATAATTAAAATCATTAGTATCGGGTTTCTTACCACGGTATGACTTCTTTTTATTTTCCCGATATTTCGGAACGGTAAAAACAATACGTCAACTAGAACGTGCGCGAAAAAAGCGGGAGTGTCTGCGGGAGTCTATTGTTTTCTTAACTAAGTGCCGGGACAATAATGTTATACCAGTATGTGTTAATATTAGGCCACGGAAAGACATTTACGGCTCCGCGCACATTCTGTATAAAGCGAGCATTAAACTGCTTCATCGTTTGATACGTAACAACCGTTACATGTTTGAAAAAGTGTCGTGTGAGTTATATCTGTTACATCTGGAATGCAGTGTTCAGTTAAGTAAAAATTATTTCGAGTTATGTGATCGTGTTACGTTTCTACAAGCGCAGCGTACTGCTGAGCTGTGTGCATTAAATCACGAAAATAAGTTTTCAACTTTGATTCGTAAACAACAACCGGTAAGTAAGTACCATGAAAACTCGAAAGGAACTCGAACGGTAATAAACCTGTCTAACAAGGTATTGACTGAACCAGCAATTAACGCCCTGGAAAAAGGATTAAATTTCGCTCCTACCCCAACGCGCATTCCAATTGAAAAAGTCATATGTGGTGTTGAAGAAACCATTGTGTGTAATAGGGTGCCAGCTAGTGATGCTGAAACATTACGTCAAGACGTGGCTGTAGCCTTGCGACATGCTCGTCTACCACCAAAAAACATGAGTACTCAGGAACTGATGGCTGTAAAAGAACTTAGGGCTGATACAACAATTATAGTACTGAAGGCAGACAAGGGAAACGCCACTGTGATTATGGATGTTGAAGAATACGACCGTAAAATAAAAGCTTTACTGGAGGATGGCATGACATACAAACATGTAACATACAACCCGACTGCCAGAGTGAAACGACAGACTGATGCCATTAGCCTGAATGTAGGAGCGCTATCCCAGTTGATATTGAAAAACAACTATTACGTCCACGTATCGTCCAACCGCCGAGGGTTTATGGTTTGCCAAAGATCCACAAAACTAACGTACCATTACGACCAATAGTGAGTCAGATAGACTCACCCACGTTTGAATTGGCAAAATATGTGTCTCGTACACTAACACCTCTAGTAGGCAAAACGAACTCTTTTGTGAAGGACTCCAGGCATTTCATTGAGATCCTAAACAGTACCACAGTTAACGAGAATGAGACAATGGTTAGTTATGACGTTAAGTCTCTTTTCACAAACGTACCAATAAAGGAGTGCATCGACGTTATCAAAGTGAAACTTCAAGAAAATAACATCCCAATGGAGATTGCTCAATTACTTGAACATTGCTTAAACACGAGCTACTTCCTGTATAATGGCCAATACTACCTTCAGATTGATGGTGTAGCGATGGGCAGTCCCGTTGCTCCCGTTGTTGCCAACATTTGGATGGAACACTATGAACACGCCACCATTCTGTCAGCACCATCAACAATAAAATTATGGAAGGGGTATGTTGATGACGTATTTTGCATAATGGAAGGAAAGGAGCAACATATACAAAATTATTTAGCACGTCTTAATAACACCCATAACAAAATGAAGTTCACTTGTGAAATTGAGAAAAATCGCACGCTTGCATTTTTGGATGTATTGGTCAAAGTCCGACAAGACGGGTCACTCGGTCATTCTGTGTTCAGAAAACCAACTCACACGGACAAATATTTACATGCCACTTCACATCATCACCTAAAACACCTACATTCGGTCGTCAGGTCATTAACCAATAGAGCTTATGATCTTTGTGATTCACACCACCTACCACAGGAACAGGAGCACGTTAAGACGGTTTTGCGACAGAATGGATACAAAATAAAAACATTTAAACCAATACACAAAAGGAAGAAGCAAATTGACGTACAGAGACTACCAGTTTTTCTGCCCTATGTACAAGGGGTGACAGATAAAATAGCCAGGTCGCTAAGGAAGTTTTCCATAAAAACTATTTTCACCCCCTTAACCAAAATAGGAAAAATGTTACGTTCACCAAAAGACCACCTTCCTTTACAAACACCGGGTGTCTATAAAGTGAACTGCAGTTGTGGGAGCTCGTATATCGGTCAGACTAAACGAACAATTGTCGATCGTATGAAGGAACACATCCGAGCAGTAAAAAACAATGATGCACAGAAGTCGGCTATAGCACAACATCTCACACAGACTGACACTAACCACTGGATCGAGTTGCGTAGCCCCCAGGTACTCTCGACAGAACGTCACTACATACCACGGTTGGTACGAGAAGCCATCGAGATCACGAAGTACAAAACATTTCAACCGTGATGATGGTTTTAAACTGTCCAGTGCATGGAATCCGGTCCTTAGTGAGTGCAGTAATAAAAACAAAAACACCTCGAGTTCAGTTTCGCGTGTGGATACAGTGAGTGTGGTTTGTGTGAAAAAAGTGAGTGACAATGGTAACGCCACAACAAATCGCGATGAAGGTAGTCGTCGACAGCGCAAGAGGGTAGACAGATATGTCTGCTCATAAAGCTGTCATCTGCCGCCATCCAGTCAACCCGTGACCATGGAGCGTGCAACCGTTCCGAAATATCGGGAAAATAAAAAGAAGTCATACCGTGGTAAGAAACCCGATACTAGTGATAATCATTTAGTGAATAACCACGAAAGTCTTAAAATCTATATAATTAAAATCATTCTCGAAAATCACGAAAAATACTGAAATTTACGCAAATATATATTTATTTACCTATTTGGAATTAAAGTCGTAGGCGCAATTTCTTTCTCTCTGCAGTCAGGACATTCATGATCTTCAGATTCTAAAAGTGCACCCCTGATACCTTAAATAGAAACAACCAATCAGAAAAAACTAGTAAAATTAAATGTAATTTTAAAAACAAGGTAAAACAACTAACATTCATCACAAAAGGAGTTGCCACAGCAGGGTATCATGACAGCATCAGTGAGCAGATCTCGACACAAGCTGCAAATAAGCTCATCTGGAACCGTTGCCTCAGGAACAGCCGGAGTGTTTGTCGGTGTATCCACTGTATTCTCAGATGCTTGATATGCCTCACTGTAACAATACAATAACAAGCGTTAATGTCACGTGAAATATAATTAATAAAATACTTTGCTTCACATTTTCAATTAATTAACACTGAAACATTGTATGACATGTGTACTTATTATACAATATTTGTCACCTACTATGTTTACTTAAGTAAACATAGTAGGTGACAAATATTGCAGTATGTTCAAAAAAACATGCTGCATCCAGTTCCAAGCAATATATTGAAAAAGTTAGATGAGCAAAACTTACTGGTCCACAGCCGGGACAGCAAAAGTACCACTAGGTGTCATCATAGCGCCTGGTGCTTTTGGACCATCCACTGGTACCATAAAACTCCGAGGGATACCTGTGCTTCTTTTTATTTCCACTAGTTCCGCCTGAAATAATGCTATTCTATAAACTATGTACAACGGTCATGAAATTAGGTTAAAAAATATTTCTCAGACTGGAAGAATAAATAAGAAAAGTTCATTCCACAAAACAACATACCCATGGAAAGGTACAACTGTCTCGTCAATATTAACAAATGTTGTTAAACCCTTTAGGTTTTATACCTTTTTTATTGAAATATTATAAACTTTTATGAATATTTTGTATGATTTACTATGTTTATTACATTAATAAGGTTTATCATTTTCAGTTTAGTGTAGTGCACACCATAATAGTCTATGAACATTAGTCATATCCCAACTATAGCGAGTTGTATTTCTATTTGGGAGGATCTGGAATTGGCTCTCAGTTGTTACTATTAATATATAAGTTAATTTTAAACTGTTGGTCATTGACTTACAATTATATGGACGTCGGGTCCGCGCTAAAAAGTGTCCGAACTTATAGGGCGTTAAAATCGTATACAGAGCGTCATTCACGCTTTAGTCTTCGTTTGTTCGACTGACAGCGAAGCAAGCAAAATTAGACAGTACTGCGATGATATTACAATTTAAATTCAACGTTTTAGCTTTTTCATATTCCTTTACGTCACTACGTTTAAATAGGTTGACTTGGGACATTTTTTTCGTGGTTTTTGTATTAGACCCGTCGTCCATTTATTTGTAAGTCAATGCTGTTGGTCTCTTTTTTAGATAATAAAAAAATACAAAAAAAGACAGAAATATCATGCATTCCTTCATTTTTCCACATGAGGGGTTTATACATGTAAAAGTGGATTTATTCACTTTCTTATTTTTCATAATTCCGCAAAAACCTATTTATTGTACAAAACATGGCAAAATTAATATGAGAAAATAGTTATTGAAAAAGTATAACATTTAAGAACTCTTCAAATGTGCTCCATAGCATTAAAAACAATCAAATCATTTTCTATACATTTTTGCAAATGTAAGTCACTGTTTCGCCAAATCTATGATATGTTTCTGGTGATTGATGATTTCACTTTCCGAATTTCAATGGCACTTTTTGAGTGATTTTTGTAAAACCCTTTTTTTTTGTTTTAAGGTCTAAAACATACAAATATTCAAGCAATGTCAATAATTATAAAATCACAGAAATATTTGAGTTAAATACAACAAAAAATTATATTTTAGGTCACACAAATGAGATTGCAGTAACACAAATGATTTTGTCATTAACATAAATGAGAAAGATGGCACAGTAATGAGAAATTATTATTACAATACACATTTTATCATTCACAAAAGAACATTTAACAAGTAAAAATGTTTTAATATAATTTCTTGTATCAAAATCCTTCTCATCCATGTAAGACCATCTATCTATCTATATGCAATTAATAAATAAACCTAAAAAGCATTTTGTTTATATCATATAAACTTTGTTGTACATCAATATATCATCATTACCACCATCAACATCATCATCATTATCATCAGCATCACTACTATTCACATCATCATCACAATCATCGTCATCACCACTACAATCATCATCCTCATCATCACCGCCATCATCATCGTCACCACCATCATCACCACCACTATCACCATCTAATTGTTATATTTCAAGTAAATGTTTAGCTTAAAGTAACTATTAGACTTAAAAGTGGACAAGAATGAAAGCGACAATAATGATTTGGATACATTTTTAACTGTCAAGTGTGTAAAATATGCTGAACCGTTATAAAAGTACATGGATTTTAAAGCTCCCTTTGTCTAATTGATGTACAATAAAGTTTATATAACTATTACTTATTTAGATAGATTGCTTTACATGAATGAGAATGATTTAGTCACTAGTGCTGAAATTGGTATATACTTATATGTTATGTATGTGTACGATGTTTTGCTAAAACGGAGATTCACAGGTAACTTCACTGTGTACACGCCAATCCGAAAGGAGCCCCATCTCACGTGTGCGAAGGGTGAAGGTGATGCGGTACGAACTTTTGTTATTAGGACGCTTTTAGTTGAAATGACATTGATGATAGGAAAAATTTAAACACATTTTGTATTCCCAAGAAAACATGTTCATTTATAATAAATTGGAAAGTTATGATATATATTCGATGTGCAAGTTATTAGAGTTTATCCTCGACGGGAAATATTCCGATTTCCTTGAGTGTTTAATTTTTTTTCATCTTTTCTTAATATTAAGGCAATGTGGAACCGCCTCCCATGAATGAGAAATTGCCCACTTTTTTAATTTTTATTTATTACTGTGATGTAGTAAAGTACACTTTTTATGTGTAACACAGACTAAGTAAGCAAGCAATCATATTAAATAAATAATGCTTAGCATTCATGTAATAACATAAAAGTTATTGAAAGGGACACATTTTTGGAGGTTATCTGAAAACAACCAATATGTGGCTGTTGCAATAGTAAGTTAAATGAAAACAAAAAGTAATGTGCATGCGTACAGAATTGGCAGTAGGGCAATCTTTAATCCAATGTCCTCTTTTCTGACACTTGTAGCAAATATAATTTGTTGGCACAGCACCTCTTTGGTTTTGTCCTCTAATTTTTTGATAGCTGAAATAAATTGATAAACATTATTTTAAATGTAACACACATTTCATTCAAAAACAATACTTATTCCCTAAATTTAAGCTTTACTTGTGTGGGATAGTGTCCTAACTTCAGCTGTGAAACACATAAAACATATTAGCATGTTAATTGCGAGCTAAAAGTGCTTTAATTTTGTTAAGTAAGTATAAGTTTATAACACAACATTGAATGTCTGTAAAAAAATGTAATAATTTTTATATCCAAAGAATAGGCCCCTGTAAATACAAAAAGCCCTTAAATACACCAATTATTCAACAAAATTCTGCCTTACTTGCTAGGGTCGTAGTCAAAAGTTGACTGTGATATCATAGCATTTATTTTATCCTGTTCGCTACCTTCCATGCGAGACAGATCGGCCAATCCTTTCGGAGCCACATCTTTATGCAATACTGATTGACTAGCATTTGAACCTTCCCACTGTTTTTTGGGCTGTTGAGACTGAGGTACTCTAGCTACAAGCAGTGAAGTGTTCTTTGGAATCAAAGTGTTGTCATCTACATATACTGCAAAAATAAAAACAATGACACTGCATTACTTCGATATGTCTATACTATACTGCCTATTATAACCAAAATACACATCAAATTAAATGGACGGTCTCATCGTATTCGTCAGACGTATGGATAAATTGTAATGCATCTTGAATAATACATAACATATAAAATAGTTGTTTATGTATAATACTTACAAAAAATATATTATCGTATATTAAATTTAATGTAATGGTACTAACCTTCTTTTGTTTGAGCGTTGGTAATTTCTAAATCGAAGTCGGAGGTCTTTCCTATACGCTTTTGTTGCGATATAGCAGATTTTAAGTCGCCTACTGATATGTGTAGTCCATCAAAAGTAACAGTGTCGTAATCCAGTGCACTTTTGAATTTATAATGTACAGACATCTCAGTTGAAGTAAGTCTTGACCAATACGTATCATGACAAAAATGTTCACGTGTTGTTATGACCTACAATCCGGCTTGTTGAGCGAATGGAGACGCCACACATTCAGTAATTATTTCAAAATACAACACTACTTCCAATAACTGAAAATACTTTTGTAATGCTAACAAATGGACTAGTCACAAGTGTGTCCTAATGTTTATAAGATATGAAACAAAACATATTTTCACATTTTACGAAAATTCGATACATAGCCAATGAAAGCCATCAATTCGCCATTTTAGATTTTAGTTCCTTTTTTCCGTTTTCCTTTTATTTATTTTTTTTGTTCTGTATTGCCAATATGAATTTTATTTTTATTTTTTTAAGTTATAAAGGTATAACAAGACAGCTCTGGCTATTATCTTGGCTATGGCATAAACTATTAAGACAAAACAAGCAAATTTTGTAAAGTGACATAAGAGTCGTATTCTAGAACTCTACTCTACTCCATGCTCAAGTCAGGACTTGAGTATGATTCAAAGCACTAGAAATCATACTCAAGTCCTTGCCATTAGAGTCGTATTTCCAGTGTTTGAATTCATACTCAAGTCTGCTCAAATCCTAACTTGAGCATTGAGTACAGTTCTGGAATACGACCCTTAGTCCAAGTCTCAGGGTCGTATTCCAGAACTCTACTCAATGCTCAAGTTAGGACTTGAATATGATTTCTAGTACTGGAAATATGACCCTAATGACAAGGACTTCAATGTGATTTTAAAGCTTTATATCATACTCAAGTCCGGACTTGATCATTGAGTAGAGGTCTAGAATACGAGTCTTACTATACATGGTCCCCGTGCTATTGTTTATTTTCGTTTGCAATATTCGTAAAAAATTATTCTTTTTAGATTCCCACATATTATACAAAAGATCAAGTGTGCGACCAAACCATACGATATCATAATAAATTGTCTCTGCGTGTCGTGTCTGTCATCTTGTGTAAATACCGCAATACGAAATTATATTTTTTACCTATGGTTACACTTTATCCGGAAGTGTTAAATCGTCTCAAAGCTTTTAATTGCGAATTATTTTCGTCATCGGGATAATTGAAACTTATATTATTAACATACATTTAAATGTTTTATTATTACATTTGATTGAAGTATATGCTATGTATTGGACGTTTTCTAATTAAAATAAATTAAACGTTTCGATACTTATTTGGCAAATTGCCATGAACTTCCGGTGCAGGATAAAGACACACGCGGATCTATCGTGAAAAGAACGCGAAATAATATAAAAATCACTGGAAAGAGACGATTGCTCTACAAAATTTACATTGCCTGTTTTCAAAAATGTCCAATAACGGTGCTCCGGACTCTTGGGAAAGTCAAGCTGATGTTATAGGTGAACAAGGTGCAAAAGATTCCAATGATGTGTCTACAAAATTTTCCACGTTGAATGTAAATGCCGTGGAATTCGTGCCTTCTTTTTGTAAGCCCTCTCAGGCTAGCGACAATACTAACTCCCCCACTTCACCACCGGAATCTGAAAGTGATTCCACTAACTCTGCTGGTAGTCCTGTCTTGAATGGTAAGTGTAATGTCTGTCATATTATCTATCTGCAATTAATCTTATCGAACCGTATTTGTCATTAAAGACCGGTTCGCTTCATATACAATCATATTGTCCGTAAGGCAATGTGACGACTATATACGAGAAGCCTGCAAAATGAGTTTCGCATGTGTTCGGAGCTTACGTTCGATGACTTTATTTTTTTTCTCTAAATCCAGTTCTAACGGGTTAAGTGGAGACACGCGGCACGCGACTGTATACCCTCTTGCTGTAAAATTTAATAACTTTCTCTTAGTTTTTCATTTGTGTTAATAGTTCATTTTACATTTCTCTTGTTAATTATGGCTAAAGGTATGTTTTACTCAAAATATTTTACAATAGATATAGTCATACTTTATGAACTTCACTGGTTTAAACTTGTTCCCTTTTATCTTGTGTATGACAGTACTTAGTTATAATACTTTTTAACATAGTACTCTAAAAGGTGTTGTGAAAGACATTACCTAACTAATAGGATTTGCTCCATTATATGAACTTAATAATTCTTCAGAAGTACTTACTATGCAGTGATCTTGAATGTTACTTACAAATCAATATGTGTCAAAGCTAATATGTGTGTAATTATAAGTTATGCAATTTTTAGCAAAGCACAAAAGTGATACTATAATGCTTTATAATGTCAACATTAAAATTTCCTTAAGCCAAACGAAGTTAATCTACTGGAAACTAGACATGTCTTAATGTTAATATTTTTCATCATTTTCATTTCATTTCATTTTCATTTAGTACATGGATTTACAATTTCATCCAATTTCTTGTGGATAGTTATTGGATCAGCATGGTGAGCACTCATCTGTACAGTTCCATGTTTTGATTGTAATACAAATAGACTATCAATAGCCCCATCCATTAAATTTTTGTTTGCTTTTGTTCATTAGTAGTTTAGATTTATTGAATTTACATATAGTATCAACATCATGCAACTCATAATGGTGCTTAACAGAAGTCTTATTATATATATTGCCATAGTTATTTAGATAACATAAGGGGTAAGATATACTACATATAAGATAAACTAAGATATAGGGGTATACACTATATAGTATAAACTAAGATATATAATGACACTTGAATCAAGCTGCACTATTCATATGGAGATACAAATATTTTTTTCTGTACTTTTCTGCTAATGTGTATTAGCTCGTAACATGCCATTTGTGATTTTATACTAGGTTGCGGGGATGCCGAAAGTGGTGAGGGAGGCGCGGCATCTGCGTCGCCGCGCGTCGAAGAGCCACCACCCTTGCCACCAGCGGGCACAGGTGCAACCACTGCACCCGCGCCCGTTCCTCCCGACGTCTCCCCTACCGCCGACAGTTGGGAGGCCGAGGCCGACGCCGACGATGCGCTGCTCACACCTGACAACGAAAACGAAGCTGAAGAAGAGGAAATTGACCAACAGGTTCGTCCCACTGCAATATGCAAGTCTCTTTTGTTTTGCATTTTTTACTGTTGGTACGTTTTTAAGCAGAAAGCACTCTTATCCAGAATGTTTGTACGGAATACAAATAACTGTTGTTTTAGAACAATTACCTGTACTTTTTATTCTTCTGAAGTGTCATGCTCGAGTTTAGTTGTGTATTTTAATTGAATGCAAAGTTAAAAGTAGCATAGTTTGTCTTTCATATCCTGCTAACCTAACTGTTTAAACACAAATACTAAACACATGAAACTTACTACCATCAGTAATTTTTTTTATCGTGATTGATATGCATTAAAACATTATTTGTGATGTATCTGGCTGCTTCTTGCCATATCCACTTATAAGTAATGCTGCTGAAACTGCTAGTTTTATACATTTGCTGAATAGGTAATCAATTATGCATGTCACATAAAACCATGAATTTTTTGCAGTTGTTAATATAGTTAATATTCCACAGTCTACAATTTTCAACCTTGTCGCATTGTTTCTTAGACAAACAATGATAATTGGACGTAGTTAAACCAAAAGGATCCAATGCACATCCAGTCACTTCGAGATGTGACAGTTTGAAGTTGAAAAGTGTTTCTCACTCTTGTTTTATTTTCAAAACTTATAATCTCATGCAACTCCAGAGATATTTGTTTATGTTTATATGTTGCATTTCTTTGTTGATCTAAGATAGGAACCGTTTAATACATATAACTCATTTTTTGATAATTTTGTGGATTGGATCCTTTTTGTTTAACTATGTCCAATTTATCCTACCTTAACTTATGGTTGGGGATAAATTTAGTTCATGGTGGATCATTGTGTGTTTTGGTTTGGCATTTTATATGTGACATGTGTAAAATCTATCTGTTATATGACTATGAGAGTTAAAAATGTTTATATCAAGATCTTTGATTGTGTTTATGTAATGTGTTTTTGGTACACCCAGCAAAGATTAACTTTTGTAATAATTATTTTTTTGATAACAGGAAGATGGTGAAGTGGTGAAGAAGATTCCCAAGAAAAAACCACCACGGGTTGAGGACACTAGGAGCAAGAAAGAACATGTTAATGTAGTGTTCATAGGACATGTAGGTGAGTGTAACACAATGAATGTAATAACTTGGTACACATCAAATATAATTATTGTAAATATTATAGTAGCACTGTCACCTTAACTATTTCTGCCACCAAGCAGTAATCAGCATTACTGTTTGGCGGCAGCAATGAAGGGTTAGGGAGCTAGTAAATTCACAGTCACATGGGGCTTCAGGGTGACGGGCGCAGTCACAGGGCCCCACAGATCTTTGCGATTTAAAGCTCTGAGTGGCACTACAGCTGTTATGGACAGGCATGTAGCTTACTATCAGGCGCACGACTTGTTTGTCCCGTCACTTGATATTATTAAAAAAATATTGAAATTTAAACTAAACAGTTAATGTGTAATTTCAGACGCCGGTAAATCTACGATCGGCGGTCAAATTATGTCATTAACTGGCATGGTGGACAAAAGAACGTTGGATAAATATGAGAGAGAAGCTCGAGAGAAGTCAAGAGAATCTTGGTATTTGTCATGGGCACTGGACACTAACCAAGAAGGTATGTAATGCAGAATAGTAATTTACTATTTGTTTAATTCATTGTTAGGACTGAAACAACATTTCCCTGCTTTTCAAGAATAGTGGCCTAACACAAATTAGTTCTTTTTTTGACTTATTACTAAAATTTATTTAAAAAATGCTAAATATTATTGTAAATTGGACACCATGCTTCTTATTGGTTAAAATAATCACATAGCAACACTGGGATGGTCTATGAACTGTCAATTTTGAGCAGAGGATCCATCTCAGATTTTTTAGAACCCTTTTCCTGTTGAGTTAGATGCTTTTGAGATGGACCACTATTCTAGAAAGCCATCGATTTGCAGTCATTTTGTCGGAGGAATTAGGGAAACCTATTGATTATGTTTTGCTTGTAAGTAACTCTGTGTTTTTTAATGAGATTTCTATCTGGTGTAGTTAAGCTGTTTTACTATGTTTTTTTAAATATGAACTATTGTATAGTATCTAATAGTATCTTCGTGATAGTACATGAATGAATACTTACGTTGTTTATACAGAACGTGACAAAGGCAAAACAGTGGAAGTAGGGAGAGCATACTTCGAGACTGAGAAGAAGCATTTCACAATCCTGGATGCACCGGGACACAAAAGTTTTGTCCCCAACATGATTGGTGGCACAGCACAAGCTGATCTAGCTGTGTTGGTAAGAAAAAATGTATTTACTGAAACTCATTGGAAATGAAACTATTTGTGTAATGGTTTCAATTAATGTTTGCCATAACTATGTCAGTTAGCTGTGACAATGAGACCTGTAAAGAACCCAAAACATTGTTTTATTTGAAAGAACAAATATACTCAATTTAGATACAAAAAATAGTTTCATTTCTTTAAAATGTTCTATCCCTATTAAATTATAGTGGTGAGTAAAAACAAATACATCGATTTCATGTAATATCCATTAATGATTTTAAGGTAAGGCCAAGGTCGTGGGCGGGAAGTGCTCATAATTTGTGTCTGCCGTGGACCACGGTCGGGTAGGTGATATGCTTCCGGCCCGCGGTCCGTAGTTCACATCACAGGCACTCCTACCTAGTTATTTTTAAGCCACTTTATTTATTTGTTTTATTTAACAAAGTCTTCAAAATAGGAAGAGGTTTTCAATTCGACAGTATTCTTTTATGTATGTTACGCGATAACTCCGGCCTTTTTGCAAACCGATTGACCGTTGATTCTTTTTTTAATGGAAAGAGGGCAGTGATTTAAATTTGCAGAAAATATTCCACCTTTAAGGATGACAAACTAGGGGATGAATGATTTTTGAGGTTGGTTTTTTTAGTATGCTGTACTGATTATTATTTATGTTCTTGAATACCATTACAGGTGATCTCAGCACGTAAAGGTGAATTTGAAACTGGTTTTGACAGAGGAGGACAAACGCGTGAACACGCTATGTTGGCGAAAACGGCTGGCGTTAAGCATTTAGTGGCTCTAGTGAACAAGATGGACGACCCTACTGTCAACTGGGATGAAAAAAGGTTATTATGTAATTTACGTTATTGAAATGCACGTCTTTATTGAATATTATTAGCTTTTTATGTTATAATCTTTATAGTCATCATAGTTAACATTTTTCTAGAGTTATATTAATGCAAGGCATAATTTATTTTGGATATTTGGCGCAATATTTCAAGTTTAATATGTATCACCATGTAATTGTCGTTTGTTTGTAAATGCGTTAATATTACTTATTTCTGTTATTACAGGTACAATGAATGTCGAGACAAAATCCTGCCTTACCTAAAGAAGCTTGGCTTCAACCCTGGAAAGGATTTATCCTTTCTTCCGGTATCTGGCCAAACTGGACAAGGATTATTGGAAAGAGTAAGGCTCATGTGCTCTAAATCTTGTTCTTGTAATGTAAAAGTCAAATATCACTATTCTGTACAGTTGCTGGAATTTAAATTAGCAAAACACTTGTTCAAATATATAAGTTACAGACTCTTAAACTATTATGCACTTAAACAATTATAATACAGCTGAACACAAGTTTATGGAATCAGGCAAAGCTGTGTTTACACTAGTTAAGTTTACTAAACCCATTTATATGGTGTCACCTAAATTTAATTTACTCTATATATATCGTACACGCAAAGTAGGCGCCTGGCATTCGCTGGATTTATTGCAAATTACCAAACATGCGAAATTTTAATTATCTACATCCATATCTTGAGGTCTATAATAAAACATACATTTGGAATTCTCAGGTAACAGAAGACGTTTGTCCATGGTACCGCGGACCGTCATTCATCCAGTTAATTGACGAGTTGCCTTCATTGAACCGAAAAATGGACGGTCCCTTCATCATGCCTGTTGTAGATAAATACAAGGATATGGGAACAGTACTCATGGGCAAGGTCGAGGCTGGTACTACGCGTAAAGGGAGCAGCATGATTCTTATGCCTAATAGGGTAAGTGCAGTTTTTGCAGTTTGCGTTTAGTGTTAATCTGTGGGACTGGCACAACAATGCCACTTGCGCGAGAGCGACATAAAGCGCGAGATTTCTACACGAGAATACCAGAATCTCGCGCTATATGTCGCTCTCGCGCAGGTCGCGCCCTGTCGTGCTAGCCCTTCTGTAGTAGTATAAACTCTCCTGATCCTTAAGCTAATTTAAAACATTTTAAAAGTAATGTCATTTCTTTCAAATTGATAATACATGACAATGATATTACGAAGTACCTAATCGAATTGATTAAGATGAACATCGACTGGACTTGAACGAAACAATATTTATGTTTATCAGTCCAGAGTCGTATTTCTTGGCAAGTAAAGTAGTTATTTCGTGAGCGTAATTTGACAAATAAGGACGATACGGGCGTACCGTACTAGAGTGATTCCTGCCTTTGAAATTTTTGTAAAACAAACCATTTCAAGTTCTTGTCTTGACACTCTAGTAAACTTCGTCCATTATTTTTTCCCTCTCCTTGCAACTATTCTATCTGACATTTTTTTCGTAACTAAGTTAGACGTATGCTCTTACTCAGCTTTCAAAAGCGATCATTCTCATTTAACCATTTGATTAGACTTACATATGAATGTAACTCATTAGTGGAACGAGTTTGATACGAGTTGCAGCTCAAGATGTAGTGGCATATGTGATGTAATTTGCTTCATGGCAGTTCCGAAAGTTAGCCAGAAAAGGGACGATTTGAAGGTTATTTGGCGTCGCGCTCGTTCTGGTTGTAAATCTGCAGCACGCGATGCAAGGGACATACACATTATCCAATATACACATAGCAACAGATACCATTTTAGAAAAAAAACTTATTGTAACTTTGATTTACTTCAAGGATAATGTCCAAATTCCATACTATCCTGAACCAGATAAAGATTTTTTAGGATGTATGACACAAATTTCTTCAAAAATCACTAAGCAGATGCCACGCGACGACCGTGTGCACGTGTCTCGAAATCGCGCTGTTATAGCAAAATAGCCTCTATTCATTTAGCAATTACATTTTAAATTAAATTTACTTTATTAATAAAACAAACAACAATTTCTTCATGCCGTTACTACTAGCCGACTTGCGTATCCAGTTACTCGAATTCTGTCTTGAAATTCACACGTATCCATTATCTGTACTGACTAAAGAGCGCGAGAAGAACTGAACTGAAAGATAATGAAGACACCCCGCCTACTTCGCCGCGGCCAAGCCTGGTGTGGCTTTAAATAACGCGCAGTTACTTGATTCCGAGGAATTTAATCGTTGTTGCATAGTAAATAGAATTCAGATTCGCCGTTAACTATGTGAAAACGTGGTGGCCGTACGGTTACAGCGCGGCGACCGCACGATAATTTTCGCGTCGTGTAACTAACTGCAGGCTTAGAGTCACTACGGCAGACAAATGAGATAAAAGTGGTGTAAAAAAGATACGATTTTTTTAAATACCTAAATAAATTAATGGAAAAATCACACTAGGCTTAAAATAAAATATCAAAATGTAAATTGTATTATTAATTCAAAAACAAATATGTACAATACCTTCAATATGTTTTTACATATTTCTAAAAATGATTTGATTTTTAGAAATACGTAAAAACATACTGAATTTTCTCCAATTTATTTCAAAAACTTATTAATTAATCTATAATTATTTGTTAACATATTTTAAGATCCATCTTATATTTAACTATATGACTTTAACTGAAAGCGACTACAAAATTTGCGAATCCAAAATCGGCATTATTCTACATAAGTATGCTAAGATGGCTTTACAAATGACCTTTTTTACACCTTATTACTGATTACAGACTTCTTCTTTTTTATTGAAAAAATTTTTTTCTTATTGAAAAATTTCCACCAGGTCCAAGTAACAGTGGATCAGTTATGGTCGGACGACATAGAAGTAACGTCTATCGGTCCTGGTGAGAATGTGAAAGTGAAGCTCAAAAACATTGAGGAGGAAGATGTGTCTCCTGGTTTTGTTCTCTGCGATCCTAATGAGCCAATCATTACAGGGCGGGTAAGTGTACATTCTAATTTAAACTTAATAGCACCCTGTACGCATCTGGTGCGCCAAAACGCAGCGTCTGGTGGAAGTCGTAACATAATGTAACGCACGCAACGCTGCCGCAGCCGCCTATCACGATGGTACAATGTCAACCTTAAAGAATTCTTTCACGCTTCTACAATAAGGTATTTTCAAATACTGACGCGCAAAGATCTGTAAAAATTAGTAGAAAAATTTATTTCTGTAAACTCTGCAACATTGTGTCGAGCGTCCAAATAACTGTCTGTACGTCATGAAATTCTCTATTATAATTGGTCCTTCTGGAATTAAAATTGAAATGTTTAGGAAAATCTTTAAATTTACCATATAATTTTATTGTTACTGTTTCAGGTGTTTGACGCTCAAGTGGTTATTTTGGAACACAAATCCATCATCTGCGCAGGTTATTCCGCAGTCATGCACATACATTGCGCAGCTGAGGAAGTTACTGTTAAGGTATAATGTATTATAGAATAAAAAAGATTTACTCGAAAACCATATACGTTATGTGATTGCTGTTTCAAAGCCTCAATTCAACCACGACTCACACATTCATAATTTGAAACATTAAATCTTGATAATGATTGGTCGTAGTTTAAAATTTAAAAAAGAAATAGCAAATTCTAGTCTGTTAATATAATTTAAACTTTACCCTGTTCGCATATCGTTGAAAGTTCATACCATCAATACCTATTATTAGAGATGAAACGGATATCCTGTAACTATCTGGCCCATTTTTACTATCCGACCGGATATCGGATAGTAGAACAATATCCGGCCGGGTACCGGATATTTAAAACAGAAAAATTCATAATCAGTACGCCAAATAAATTTATTTATTGATTAAAGATTATAGCAATAGGATACACAGTAATTACAGGGTCGTTGATAATCTATTTATTACTTGTAATTGAAAGAACTATGAAGTTAGATAACGCTATCTGTAAATTTAGTACTCAAATTTCAATAAAAGCAAATTATGGTGGATGAAGACCCTTTTTTCTGCATTAAGTGGTACAAGTTGGTTCTGTTTATTGTCATAAACGAGCCCAGCTTCAGAGAACAGTTGAGCTATAAATTTTGTTAAATGAAGTAAGTACTACTTGTTATTGCTGGACGGACGAAAGGATCGCGATCACGATCGATTTGAACAGTCTTCAAAATATAAACGATCTTCTGTTTTCGTATATACAATCTGTACCTACATTAATGAAACGCGTAAGTAGATAGTTTTTTTTTGACAAATCTGGTATCAAGGCTCAAAAAAAAAGTTAGATCACAAACAAATTAATGAAATCAATTTGAAACAAAATAATAACGGGCGTATCAAGTGCTAGGCTTATATGTATAATACTTACAATAACTGTAAGTTTTAATATATATAGCCAAAGAACGATGTAATTGCTTTTTTTCGCCACCTCGAGAAATTTTCATTCACAACAAACAAACAGCACTGATATTAATATAATATTGCCAAACATGAGATTTTTTTCACATTTTTCTGTTATGTATTTGTATTATTGAATACATTAATCGTTTTTATAAAAAACTAAGTGACCACAACAAACCAAATCGTCAATGTGAAAGTGCAATCATTCTCTAATCAATGTTTATGGGCGTAGGTCAGATATCCGGACTAGGTGCTCGCCGGATATCCGGTATCTGGCCAAAATACTGTCCGTTTCATCTCTACCCATTATTGCAAGTTACGACGTTTTGATTTTATATTGAAATTTCAATCTTTGTGCTGCCATCTAGCGGTTTATAGCTGAACGTATTCGAGATGTTTACTAAATTCCCAAAAAAATAAACGACCGTAATTATTGCAGCAGTATCACTTTTCTTGTAACAAAAAATTATTACGATAAACAGAAAATTTAAAATTTATTAACGTTAAATAATTAGATGAGACGAAACAGCACCAAAGATATTATTACAAGTGCGACTATCATTTCTGCACTCCAAAGTTGCGAAATAATGCATTTTTCTACGATTTTCGATGTTTTGCGCGTGATAATTGACACAACCATAACGTACAAACGGAAAATGGCGTACTGTGCTCTAGTTAGCGGAACTCCGCGAACTGTTGGAACACGTGTCACCCAAATTAAGCACTTCTACTGTACATATTATTCTGTGTCGACGGCCTACCGAATTTATTAATCGTGTGTTACCTGAGCGTCAATCTCATATAAATTACTAATGAATAACTGTTCTGTATAGGCACTAATTTGTTTGGTGGACAAAAAGACTGGAGAGAAATCAAAGACGCGACCGCGCTTCGTGAAACAGGACCAGGTGGCAATCATGAGGATAGAGTGCGCTGGCGTCATCTGTTTGGAACCGTTCAAAAAGTTCCCACAGATGGGCAGATTTACGTTAAGAGACGAAAGTAAGTATTACTATTTTATTTATTTGTAGGTGCCACCTACAAGTTTATAAACACCCTTACTCCAAAGGAGAACAAAAATTAAGATCTTATATGGGTTTATTAAAAGGAGAAAACAATGCCCCTACATCATTTTATGAAAGTAGAGAGCTCACATTCTGCTGTAGGGTTGGTGTAGTCATAGTATGCGAATTTGTTTATTTTTAATATCAATAAATACATGTTATTTTCTTTTGTTTCAGATAAAACTATTGCGATTGGCAAAGTCCTAAAAGTGATTGAGTAAATTCGGCACTACGATTTGTAATTTAGCTAGGATAGGCCTTTCCAAACCTATATCATCAGAAAAACATGTAATCCTGAATTGGGATATGTATCATGTGAGAGCTCGGGAGTGTACTGCTTCAAAATTTATTTCTGATTAGTACTGTTAAAAATGAAAAAATGTTTAAAAATCTACTGCCACGAAGCATGATACTAAAACTCCATATGACAATATAGTTGCGTTGCGTTGGCAACTTGTGAAATGCTCAAGTAACGCTAGGGATTTAATGAATCCGTCTTTGACTGACTGAAACTACAATACAAGATATCGCTAGTGAGTTGCTAGACGTGCCGTCCGTTGTTATTTTTTTAATATACTGACATAACACATACATCACTACTAATGTGTACATCGCAACTTAAGAGAAAGGTCTACGGCTGTCTAGTCATCTCGATATTATATTAATAAGTTCCTGTATTGTCGCGTTAGGGCCGTGGTGATGTTATTTTTATACGAGTATCATTTGTAACAATTCGGAATTAGCTCTACTAGCTTATTTGCATTAGTTGCTGACGCTGTGTCATGTAGAGTTCTAGTAATCTTATTTCCACATAACACCGAGATAAGCCTTACCTTTTCTAAGCTTGAATTATTGATACTTGGCCATAAAGTGAAAACGTCTCCTTTTTTATTGTAACTTATTATTTATTTGGCATTGATGTGGTGTTTGAAGCTCTCGTGTATGAAATCTCTGATAAGATGATCATACTATAATCGAGATAGGAAGTCACATTTTTTCGAATTGTAATCGTTAAAACAAAGTAGTTGTGATCATCCTATCATTGATTATATTTTTACATACAATGAATATGACAGTAACACTGTTGTATTCTATTATATTATTTTGAAAAGCAAAATTATGTTTTATTTTGAATAATTGGCTATACATTACATTACACGTATTTCAAGAGGTTTCAATTTATATTAACTAAAATACTTGCGAGGATCAAACTTGTTTCGGTCAATCCCGATATTAATGTTAATTATTATTATTATTCGCAATACATGTTTTTATCAGATTATGATAAATAGATTATAATTTATTGCTTTAGTAACGAATACATGAACGAGGTGATTTGGTGTCTTATGACAACAAAACTAGCTTGTAATGGAAATGTGGGTGTGACGGTGTTGTTAGGGCCGCAGCCTGCCGCGCGACCCGCTTCGCTGGAGACAGTCAGGGAAGAGTAGCATGGTGAAGAACTATAGTAAAATGCCCACATATTTCTTACTCATTATTGTAGGTCTATGAGAGTACTTATGGAAAGTTGTGCAAATTATTTAAAGGTGGCTCATAACAAGAGTTATAACTTCGGCCCAATCCCGAATTGTTATGATAAATGTATATTATGGATTTTTAAATTTTCAGCTTTTTTTAATGTAATCAGATTTACATCTAGGAGCGATTGTATATTATTATCAATATTTTGTGTAAATCAGTGGAAAAAGTGAGGCGCACGTGGCCCCAAGTCGGTTAATTTCGTGCTATAGCTTAATGTGAGCGCACTTTCCGTGTGGCATCGCCGGCAGCGGGCCGTGGGCGGGCAGCGCCGGCGCAGTTGTTGCTGGCGGACAACCAACGAAAAACGCCGGCGCCGCATCCGCTCACGCGCGCCTCCACACCGAGCAAGCACATACTGCAACTATATTATTTTGTTTAAAATAAAAAAAATAAAATTTTATTACTAAACGGTATTTTTTTCAATTACATAGTTGGTAATTTCCATTGCTCTCCACCCTATGAACTAAAACACCACTTGCCTACATCGCGATGGCCTCGATGCTGTTGTCGAACTAAATATTTTATTTTCGAACAATTTTATTAAATACGCATTATTTCGAACTTTAATTCGAGCTAGATTTTTTTCTTAAAAATACAATGAAAAAGTAAATAAAAACAAAATTTTCTTCACTAATTTAAATTCTCACACGACGAGAAACCGTATGCAACTGTTATCTCACCATCAGCCCATCCTTCAGTCTGAATTAAACTGTTGTTTCTGACACAAAAAATCATATATTATATCCTCTTAAGAATGGCGATTGCTGCTTTTGATTCTCGCACTATCGTTTGTCGACTGCAGCCAACGAATGCTTGCAGTTGAAGTTTTGACTACGTATTTGAAGTCTCGACTGCACGCATTTGAAGTCTCTACTACACGCATTTGAAGTCTCGACTGCACGCATTTGAAGTCTCGACTGCATGCCTTAACCGCAGACATGCATGGATTACTTATCTGCAGTTACTGCGTTAGCGGACTAACACTAACTTGTACTTGAATATGACCTATATAAAACATAAACAATGTCCTTTATTTAGTTAGGCTATTCATTTTCATTACTCAATCAAAAGTCATAAGCGACTGTACTGCGCGCGTCTCGCTTCGTGGTTATATTCTGTCTCGCTCATCTCAGAGACCAACACAATATACGAATAAATGTCACGTTAGTTGATATATCCTGACTTCCATAGTAGTAAAATATATTAGGGGTTAAAGTATGAAATTGCCGTTTTATTGCAATAG